ATATATATATATATATATGAGGGGGGTTAAGATGGGAAGGGTGAAAAGTGCTCATGATGTGGAAAAGGGAGGGGGCAGGGAGTTTATGATAAGTACATGATAAGAGTCTCTATTGGATTTAAGAGAATGTTGTGATGAGAATAATGTAAGCAACATGAGATAGCACAATTATTTAAGTAACTTGAGGGTTGTAGGGGTAAGACATGAACCATAAGAAGTGCTTGATGAGAATAATGTAAGCAACATTAGATGACACGATATTTATATTGAATCAATGTTTGTCCATTGACGTCAGCAAGACCCTATTAACGAGCATAAATTGAGTCGAAAAGGGAGAGTAGAGATGAAAAAAAGAAAACTAAAGAGAGAAGCTTTGAAGATTTTATTAGATTTTCTAACAGTGAATTATTAACCTCATCCTCTAACCTTCTATTTATATGTTTTGTTTAACATTCAGCTCTATAGGAATAACTAAATTTGAGTAATATAAATAAATTTACATAATAATGTTTGATAAAGCTTATTATAAAAATATCTGTCTTGCTAGCTTACAGCTAAGTACTTGGGCAACTTTTGATAACTTCCAAGATGAGTTTCTCAATATGAATTCTCTTGGATGTATTATCTAGCGAGTTCTCTTAGGAAGTTTATGCGACTAACTTTTGGCATTTTGATTCTTTCATTTGGCAAGTTCCATGGGTCAGCTAATTGGCGACTAGATGAAAATGCTTCTTTAAATGAGTTCAAAATTTTGACGAATTTGGTTCATGTGCTAATGATTTAATGAATCCAATTCATAAATATGATTTGGTTGACTTGCACTGATATTTTTTTAAAATGGATTTTTTAATTGAGTTGCTTTCTTAAAACTTTGGTATTAGTTTGGTTACTTCAGTTGTGTTTACGATATAAATTACAACTATGTGTTGAAGGGGAAAGGGAAGGCAGTAACGACCACCACAAAGGCAACCACAACAACTGCAACAATTAAGACAAAATCTGCAAAGAAAGTCTATACTCTGCCTGGGCAGAAGTACGATCTTCCTGAAGAGGTCTTCTGTTGTCGATTAAATAGTTAATTTCTTACAAATTTAGTTTGCTATATGCAGTGATTGCGTATCTTATATGAAAAATCAATTGTTATTTCACAGAGAGAGCCGTTGAGAATATTCTATGAATCATTGTCAAAGCAGATTCCAACTAGTGAGATGGCTGAATTTTGGTATGTTTTTGTATGCTCGCATGAATTTTTATCTGCCCTTGTGTGATTCTTTAATGCAGAGTTTCACTGGCTTGATTTAATGCAGTTTTTGCAATAAACTACTTACCAATGTGTCCGAAGTACATGATTTTTTTATGCAATATATGATCCAATACCGGGGTCATTTAAAACATCTTTTTCATTCGCAATCCCAATTTTACTCCATTTCTACCACATTATCATAAAACATCTTTTTCATTCGCAATCCCAATTTTACTAAATTTAACCTTCATGTAGGTCTTCACCAATTTTTTTAGTCAGACAATATAGAAAACCAACATGACTATTTCTGCTTCGCTTCTCGCTAATAAGAAGTCTTTTGGAAATTCTGTCAAAAGAAATTGTTTGTAGTCTTATAATTATATTATTCAATCAATGAAAACAATGATTTAAGAGAAAAGTGACAAAATTATAGCTCTTTTAGGCAGATGTTATTGCTCTTACGAAGTTTCTAGTATAATGCCCTGTGATGTACTTTCACTGGATTTTTGGTAACAATTGGTTCTATAATGTGCCAATGGTAAGTTCAGTCATTAGCTGTAGCTTTGTTAAGTAATATTTTGTTTATGTACTGTGTGCTATTTAGCAATGAAATGAAATCCATTTTGGTTACTTTGTTCAACTTGAAGAATCTGGAAAAGCTCAGACATGAAATGACATTTTAAGTTTTAGAAATGTTCGGGACTGTATTTTTGGTAACAGTTGGTTCTACAATGTGCCAATGGTAAGTTCAGTCTTTAGCTGTAGTTTTGTTAAGTAATATTGTTTATGTACTGTGCTATTTAGCAATGAAATGAAATCCATTTTGGTTACTTTGTTCAACTTGAAGAATCTGGAAAAGCTCAGACATGAAATGACATTTTAAGTTTTAGAAATGTTCGGGGTTACAAGTGTTCGAACATTTTATATTTAGGCTCAGTCTTCATTTGTTGGGAAATCATTCAATAAAAAAAATTAAGAAAGAACATGTTTGTTCTGCTTCTGATCCTAACGTTTTATAATGCAGCTTCTTGCCTTTCTATTGCCAAGCAAAATTTATACAGTAATAGAACGCTGAAATGCTTTGCTTTGCACAAGCAACTGGTAGTTTCTAATGAATCATTTTGTTGAAACCAATGATGTATGAAAATGGTGCTAACTTATTGCCTTGACATAAAAAGATTTTAGATCACTGCGCATAAAATAACATGTGATATGGTATTTGTACCTTAACACAGGATGATGGAGCATGGAATGCTGTCTCCTGATAGAGCCAAGAAGGCATACGAAAGAAAACAAAGGAAGCAACAGCAACTGCGAAAAGGAACTCCTGTTAAATCTCAGAAGATCAACAGGCCAGAAAGCTCAAAGTCACAACTACCAAAGAACAGTGAATTAAAATCAAAGAAAAGAGTCCGTTACAGTGATAGTGATGATGAAGTCATCATAAAACACAAGAAATCAAAATATTAATTGAATGACACAATTGTGTGGTCAAGATGAAGGGGTGAGCCAATCTAGTGTTTACATGTGGTACAAATAATTTGCCTAAAGTGGCTCACATTCTTACTTTATAGTTGCCAAAGGCATGTAGTTTATGAGTATTTGATCTGTGGGAAAAATTAACTTATTTATTTGTTAGGTAATAAACATCATGTTCACCTGGCACTTTACAGCAATAAAATATTGATTAAAACCCAATAATATTTGTTACCCTTCTATCTTTTTTTTTTTTTAATGGCAGATAACATCAAAAAGTATTTGCATCTGAAATAGCAGTTTATTCTTCATGTCTTTAATTTAAATTCATAAGTTAATATTTAATCTGTGTGGTTATTCATGATTATTAGAGAAAGATTCAATATAAACGACTTTCATTTCTAATGTATTCTTTTGAAATACAGAAATTTCAGTCGTTTGCCTAGCAAGATGACAAAATCATGACAAGTTCAATTTCTCTTGGTGCATTAGATGAACACAAATTACATGAATTTTTGAGGAAATAATATACAACTCTGAAGATATACAATATTTCCCGCAGATTAGTCCTAATTTGAGATTTACATGATGATCTTCAGGAAGAATTTGTAAAAGAAAATTGCTGAACAATTTATGGCTGAGAATGGGTGAGCAGCTGGCAGGATATGTGCAAGCGTTACATGCTCTTTTTTACTCATAATAACTAAAACATTCACATATTTTTTTCTGAATATTTTACATGAGAAGAATAAACTGGTTATATTGTGGATTTCGTCTTTAGCGAAGGCTTTAAATCATGCGCCCGTTCACTGAGTTGGTTAGTACTGTCCCATATGATCATCTTCGAAACTAAACCTGATGGCCGTTATTAAGAGGCTCCGCAGCAGTAGGAGCATAATATGTTGGGATTTTTGACCTCATGAGAATATCTGGAGTTACTTTGCTCACACTACAAGGATTTTGAACTAAAATCAACAATGGATCAACGGAGCTTTTGAGCTGGGCTGGACGAGAAGTTGGCTGCAAAAATGCAATATGCGGGAGAGTAGACAAAGTTAGCATTAGGTAAGATAAGTTATGAATTTTTCTCGGTGAGTCGAAAGAAGTACAGTTAAGATGACTCACCACACCAAACTGCCAGTCTCTGAACGCCAGATTATTGAAATCAGTAGCATCCATTTCCTAAATGAATAATAATAGTTAGACATGAAGTCCTAGGTTAGTCAACTAACCTAAACCTGAATTAATAAATTGCTGGACATATTGAAAACATATTTTGTGAAGATCATTAAAGCTGATTCCTAGTTGATTTTTGTTTTATTTCATAAATAGCATCTAAAAACTTCCCCTAAATTCTGCAATATGCTTAATATGCTACCCTCTTGAAACAACATGCAAATGATAATATAATTTTTTAAGGCAGCTGCTCTTATTCCACTAATAAATGTGAACATACTATCGCTGATACGCTCCAGCCCAACATGCTTTTATCAGTTTACCGTGAATGCTTGATTCATGGCTCGGTGCCAATCTGAAAGTCCACTTCAACTTTAATAGAAATGGTTTCATGCTCTATATATTTTAGTTTAATCGAGATGAGTTTATGATTACTCTACAATTTGCAAGAAAGCAATATAAATAAACAATGCAAGTAAATGCATTACTAAGAATGGACCTCGAATTCATTCAACAATCAATGAAAACATTTGATATTGTACAGGATGGGTTACATACGATGCTATATATAGGGGGCACTTCCATCTCCCATTTGGACTTCAAGATAGGCATAACAGAGAAATGGGGTGATGGTCCTAATGCTCTGAAAGTCCACCTAAACAAAAATGAAAAAAACTATAAAATTTGACAGCTTCATCATGAACCCATCGTTAGGAAACCAAATTATCATAAAATTTCTCTTACTCTATAAATATGTAGAAAATAATTGTCAACGATTGCATCAACAGAACAGAAAAAGTTTATGGGTGCATTTGAATGGAGAGATGAAAGTGCTGAAAAAGAAGCAAAAGCATACCCAATGTAAAGAAAAATGCAGAACTGCGCAGATTCCCGAACCAATAAACGTAACCAATAGTTATCTGGTGCTTCAGCAACATTCATATAGACCTGAATTTCTAGATTTTAGCATTGCTTGAAAGCCTTCAAAATCATTATAAATAATAAGCAAAACTGTGCATTTCTTACCAAAAATTCAACAACAGCTACAATTTGCATCGTGCCTTTGAACTTCCTGATTGATTGAAAAGTTCAACATCAGCAGAGCAGGACCAACTTAATCAGGAAAATAAAAACTTGTTGGATATTAGAAATTGCACCGCATTAAATTTATATCACATACTTGAACAAACTGTATTTCATGCGCAGGGTATTGTGCATGCTTTGTACATCCACATCTTCCATTGAGTTTAACTGTTCCCGCAAAACAAGGAGATTTTGGGAGATGTGGCGGAAGATCAAATAAAAATACAGAGAATAGTTCAGTAAAGCAAAGATCTGCACATAACAGGAAGTCCAAATTATGACGAAAGTACTGAACAACAACAAACTGCAAGCAAATAATTAGAAGCAATAAACTCTACAGTTACTAATACTTGGTGTTAGATGTAGAAAACAGATGAAGAGGAATTACTGTGAAGTAAGGAATGGCAGCTTTATAGCCAACAAGAGTTAAGTATAGACCACAACCCAATGCAGCAGTCATGCGCCTCTCAGGAACAGAAAGACGCTCATAGATGATGCAATAACCATGTGATATGAGCATGAACGACATAAATGATGCTGTTTGAAAAAGTATTCCAGTTACATAGACTCCAAAAGACATCCACAAAGAGCAAATCTGAAGTTTAACGCACGAGTACCTGCACAAGGCATTAATTTCAGGATTCTCAGAACAAGGTAGCAATTTAAACAGCATTTGGCAAAACCATGCTTTGCATTTTTTTTAAAGACGATTGCAAGTAAAACATGAATATGTAAGCGAACTAGCATATTTAAGTCATAAAGCACAAGATTATGCTAGAAACGTGTATGTGGCAAGCTTCAGGCTGGATTCTGATTAAGCATTGCAACTACAAACTCTTAACTGGATGAATATAATTTCAACGAAAACTTCAAATGTTGAATATTATGGACTCAAATAAGAATATGAGCCTTATTTAATGGTATCTGTGGGGATCGATCATTAGTTTAATTCGAACGAAGAAAATTCAGCACATTCTAGTACAATAAAAGAACTCACTATTCAAAATCTTTAGCCTTATAGCAAATATTTAGAGTAGCTTTATAATTCAAAAGTAGCATCAGCTGGTCAATATCATTACCTATAAAAGCCTTAAAAAAAGGTATTTCCATAATATATCTGAAAATTCCTTTCTTCAATTTATTGAAACTTGTCTGCATGGTTATTAGTCTTTAAGCCACATACCAATCAGCACGCCAATCAGCATAACCGTTTCTGAACTTCCAAAGAAGAAACTTTCATAGGCCCAGTTATATTTGTCCCGTACGAAAGCGATAACAAATTTATGATCATTCCAGATCCTCATTTCATCTCTGTGTATATAGAAATTTACGGGAACACAAAGCGCAACAATTGGCTGATAGTTAAATTTCGCCAGCATGATTATTTTCTTCCTAATGAGTTCAATAAAGCGCACAAAAGAAATTACAGGAGTAATTTGAATAAAGATTAATGAGAGGAGAGATCAATTAATGCATGCGACAACTAAAGCATAGAACAACTTTCACTTAACCTACGAAATGTAACCTCACGTTAAAAAAATTTAATAGAGCAACATTCACTCCAGGAAGCCACTTACCAAAATGAAAAGGAAAAGCCTAGCTGCACGACCTTAATCAGGGGAACAGCCGCCATAACACAGTGCAGATGGTTGATCTATAATAAAAATCCAGACAAATCAGTTCAAACATCACCATTCCCTAGAATAAATGAGCTAGGGGGGAAAAAAAATCAACCAAACACTTCTGCCATACAGATTGTCAAACAACTACTGCCAAAAAAATTCATTCAAGAGCAGCGTCAAAAACCAGATCGCGATTTCTCCAAGTGTTAACAGCCCAGCAGACTGTAAAGAAGCACCAAATAGCTAGAATTCCAAGATACAGCGAAGATATGTGACGATAAGTTTCATCGAAGGCTGCGTTTCGGAGGTGGAAAACACTCGCAATATTGGACGAAGGAGACGCTTCCATTTCCACTTCTTCTTCAAAAACTCGAAGCGGGAGAGAAGCAGAAGGAGAGAGAAGGGTAAGCCGGAGCTTTGAAAATGAGAGTTGGGGGACGCAGAGCCGCCTTTGAGGTGCTGTTCCCTTCGCGCATTATATAGGTACGACTGTTTAAGTTCTACCGAAACCTGCATTTGTTTTTAATCGCATTGCATTTTTTTTCTTTTACAATAAATGTTAAATTATAAACTATGTAATTTAAATTTATAATTTTAGAGACATAATTAAATTTTCAATTAATAAGACGTATTTTCTAGAGGGTTAAAGATACCTTTTATTTTTTATTCAATTTTTTTTTAATATGTATTGAAAAAAAAAAAGCTTTGAAACACAGTCTGTTTTTAATTTCTTAAATTTTTCGTTTTAGTGTCGTCATCCTTGCGCAGGAGTCATGCTAATCTTTTCTGTATTGTTGCATTGTTCCAATTTTATCGGTTGTCTCAGAAGAGTCTTTTTTTTTTTCTTAAATCTCTAGTAACTATTAAAGTTTATTGGGTGTAGTTTTTAAAACCTTTTTCAAATTTGGAAAAAAAAAAATACCAATCTTGACATATTATGAACAGTTAGAATGTATTTTAAAATGATTGAATTTATTTTTAAATGAGTAAAATATAAAAAATAAATTACTTATACTGCTGTTCCCTTCGCGCATTATATAGGTGCGACTGTTTAAGTTCTACCGGAACCTGCCAATGTTTTTCATCACGGTGCAGTTTTTTTTTTTTTTTCTTTTTTTTTTCTTTTACAATAAATTTTAAATTATAAACTATGTAATTTAAATTTATAATTTTAGAGGCTTAATTAAATTTTCAATTTAATTAAATTTTCAATTAATAAGACTATTTTCCAGAGGGTTAAAGATACTTTTTATTTTTTATTCAAAAATTATTTTTAATATGTATTGAAAAAAAAGATTTGAAGCGCAGTTATATTTTTCGATTTATTGATGTCATCCTTGCGCAGGGGTCATGCTAATCTTCTCGCTGTATTGTTCAAATTTTATCGATTGCCTCCGAAGATACTTTTTTTTCTTAAATCGCTAGTAACTATTACAGTCTATTGAGTGTAGTTTTTAAAATCTTTTTCAAATTTGGAAAAAAAAAATACCAATTTTGACATATTATGAACAGTTAGAATGTATTTTAAAATGATTGAATTTATTTTTAAATGAGTAAAATATAAAAAATAAATTACTTATATATTACATACATAAATTATGAAATTTAAAAAATCATTGGAATCAAAATTTATTGTTCAACGAATTGAACAGTGGAGTAGTTTGCAAGTAGGAGTATTAAATTGCAAAAGAATTTAAAATAGTTGTGGGATTTTGGAGGATAGAAATGTAAATATCATGAATCCGGTATACGAGGAGTTGGTAACGGAACTCAACGAACCATGCCACATACATCTTTCCCATGATCGGGGAGGAGAGCTTCTCTCCATTTAAAGAATGAGGAAAAGGTTGCCCCGAATAGGAAGGGATATCATATTAAATCCTCACCGTTCATGTCTACACGTGGCATCCATTGCAGGCGCGTGGAGTAGCCCACCAACTTGATGGCCTCGATGGAGCTGGTGGTTTGATATATTTGGATTTAGGTGAGGGAATTGGTGTTGGTTGAACCCACCGGGAAGGCTAATATTTTGCTTTCTTATGTTTATAATCGGTGTGATTTTTTTGCTGCGTGTAGGATCTCATGAACTTCTATGGATATAGGCGAGACTACTTTGACTTCATGTACTAATATTAAACATGTGAAAAGTCTTTCTCATGGAACATATTGGTGCACAATTTTGCTAAATTTGGATGAAAGCTACATGAGCTAAGTGCTACATGAAAGCTTTGGTGAGAGTATTGACAAACTTTTTTAAAATGATTTTTCTTAAATTTTAGTTGGAAGGAAGGCTCTCACAACTAATAAAATATAGGAATAAAAGGGTTGCACGAGTGAGGGTTTGCTAAACGAAGGGCTTTCAGACGACCAGAAACAGGTATCCATGCAAACGATCGTACAAGTTGAGTATCTCCAGCAATCTCATAATTATCAATGTGAGGCTATCTCAACTGCTCTCACAATGAACTCCAAAACTCATGATGGAACAAGCAAGCCGACCGACTATCGCTCTCAAAGTCAACCGGTTTTCCAGCGCGAAGGTTGTCTGATACCCGAACAAGATAGAAGACCAACTCTAGGATCTGCCAACCAAAAGGTTCAGGTACACAAAAAGATATCAAGATCAATTACAAATACGAAAAGTCACAACAAAAGACAATAATGTCCAGTAAACCATCTATTAAAAGCAGGGGCAAATATGTAATTTTCTATCTTTTGGCCCTCTATCTTCTATAGCTAGGGGGTTCATAACATACATCAGGGGTGTTTTCCCTCTCCAAGCTTTTGCCTACTACACTCCCCTTTCTAGACCCATTTTTGTTGGAAGATCTTTCTCCCCTTCTTTCTCTTTTATAATGTCCTAATTACAATAAAATAATTTTGTCCCAACGGGGCAAGTCTGTGTTTGCTCTTTTATTCTTTAATCTTCTTTGTCTGTCTCTCTCTCTACGTTTCTCTAAAGGTTCCTACCCGCTCCGATCATTGGGTGTGCTTTACAAGATAATTTCAAATTCAACGGGCATGATTTGTCTTCTATATGGTAGAAATGTTGCACCACATAGACGTAAGTTTTACTACTTTGCTCTTACTTTTATTGCACGCCAGCAACCATTGAGAAGAAAGTGGTTTTACGAGATGTAGTTGTTAGAGGTTTTTACCTATAAATACCCCCATCTCCTCTTACTTCCTCACCTCTTCCTAATTTCAATTATTCTCTCATTTCACTCCCTTTTCTCTCATCTTAAATCATCTTTTTTCCCCTTTTTTTTCATTTAGTGTGCTTTCAATTGTGTGGGTGTGATATTCATTGTTTCCACAATTTTTGGATTAAATCTTGTGAGAAGCAGAAACTTTTTACTTGTTGATTCTCACAAAATCATTTTATTTCTTAATCATCTTAATTAATAATTTAAAATTTTGTATTGTTTATAAGTTTTAATTAGTTAGACTATTTACAACCTTTTATATATTGCTTAGTGAGTTGTTATCATATACGCCTAAATCATAAATTTTTGTGTAATTGTTACGGAAATTTTTCATGTTTAAACTTGTGTTCTATTTATGATATTACACTATCATAGAAGTTATTTTTTTTCAAGAATTTTGTTCAAAAAAATACTAGAAAATAGAATCATACATTCAACCATGTGGCATTTAGCAATTTGAAGATTAGAATTCATTTTTCTAAGTTATGATATTACAAAGCACACTATGTATATAATATGTATTTTTCTTAATGCAAAACCTTTCACTGACTGTTGAATTCATATACGTTATGTGAATCATACCAAAGGCATGGAGCATAGGATGGATGAGAGAAAAGGAGAGAGACAAAGAGAAAGCGACTGCACAATAATGCAAGAGTTTTGATAGAGTAAATAAAATACTTTTATTGGAGAAATGATTACTTATTTATAGATTTCAGCGGTATTCCGTCTTCACTGTTTCTCCCTATCTTAAAAGAAACGTTGCAGGTTATTATGACAACTTTTCACATTTGTAGCTGACTCTGACACCCTTTCATATTAATAAAAGATATCAGTATCATTTCATATTCATAACTTCTTGAATAGGGGCATTTAATGGCCTGGTAATCTTTTCAATTGGTCGTTTGAAAGCCTTCGGCCAGTCCTCTCGAAGGAATCCTGAGTAGAGGCCCTCCTGTCATTATGGTGAACTTGGGTCGTCAAGATAAGGGTGTGCCAACTTAATCTGACGGCAAACCTCCTTTAACAAAGGGCCATCTCAAAGGATCAAAAAGGCATTTTATGGGGATCCCTTTGACCATTTTTTTGAGGAGTTCTATAATCAGCTGGGGGAGTTGGTCATGAACAATTCTCCCTTAGATTGGGTTCCTTCTATTTCTTTGTTCGGCTATCTGTTTGGTTGGCTCGTAGTTCTGACCGAAGGAAACATCAACATCTCTTGATGTTTCCATCTTTTGAGTATTCCAATACACTATCCTTTGATGTTCATAAGCAAGGCCATTTGGATTTTCTCTAGATTTGTGAGAACATATTTTTTAAGTACATATTAAGTTAACTGATTCTCTTCCTTCTTGAAAGCAACAGTTTTGTTAAAAATAAGATAATTAAATACAAAAATTGACTTATTTATTTCTTAAAAAGTATTTTTAATAATTACACTTTATGTATTTTCATGCCTGCAGTCCCTATATATAAGGCGTGATCAGTACTTCTCCATCAATTTTTCTTAGTTTTCTACCCTTCAATCAGATGTTAATAGGAGAGATACCTAAGGTGAGTAGCAAGAAGTCTTCTGCTAAGATGGTAAATGAGGCGGTCATGATGAAGGCCTTCAGAATTTTGTTAGGGAAATTCCTCCTTCTCATGGATAGAGGGGAGAAAAGGAAATCAGAGAGTAGTCAGCCTGTGGTAAAGAGGCAACTGGCCGACGGGTTGGCACAAAGAGACTGAAAAGAGGGAGCCAACCAGAGAGAGAAAAGCAGGTCAAATAAGTGGGTCGTAACAAACAAAGGGTGGAGGAACTGTAGGAAGCAACTGAGTCATCTGACTTGATGTCGATCTATTGTGAGATGGGAAGCAAGGCATACGTGTACCCCACTGGTGCGATGGTCCTTGCCCCTGCATCTATCCATTAACAAGCAACTCAACAATCAGTACAGGTGGTCAAAGAGACATAGGTCCAGCCACATGAGGGTACAGTTCCATTCCATTAGTTTTTTAGACTAGCCAGACGGTTGTTCAACCTCTTATGGGTCAGTGTCTCTGATCGTCTGAAGTAGAGCAGATCCCTAGTACGAGGAAACTTGATCTCTTTAATTGAGTAGTTTTTTTACTATTTTTTTTTTACATTTGATTCTTCCGACAGATCATATCGTGTAGATCATTAAGCTCATCGATGATGGAAGCTAGTCATTCCTTGGTTTCAGGGGTGGTTGAGGGATTGTTAGCTT